TTAGGACAAAGGGACTTGCCCAAGGAAACAGAGAAACATCTATCTTCTGGCCTTGGAAAGGTGTTTGGTAAGAGATTGGCAAATTCCTCTCGCTGCCTCTTTAAACTACAGAGAAGAGCACGGACTGTTGTGGGTGAGCAGCTTTCTGTTTTTATAAACCTGGGCCTATGGACATGTCTTGTTTTGTTCCATCTGCTGAGGCAGTCTTGCTCTCTGCAGCACAGGCTGGTTTCAAACTCACCAATCCTCCTGCCTCAGCCTGCCAAGTGCCAGGATTACAGTTGTGCACCACCACTCCCAGATCTTTGGGAAGGTTTGTCTAAGGGGTACACAATCGATCGTGTGCCCACAATCCAGCATCTACTCAGCTGTTTCCCTGAGCTCCCCCACTGAATTACCACTCACGGCTACCCCAAGCTACTGTGTCAGCTGCACATACGTCAGTGGATAGTGCTACCAGAGACAACCTAAAACCTCAATATCACCAACTGTTTGATTTTGACAGGTCAGTGATGCTGACCACCTCTTTCCTCCCCACTCCTCTCCTCTCTCTCAACACCTTCCCCTACCTTATCGAGTCAGAGGGTAAACAAGAGCCAATGTCATATTTGCTTAATTTCATTTTGGTATCCTTTATCCAGAGTCCTCCTTCCCTCCCTTCCACCCCATTACAACACTGTTTCTGCAATTCCTCTTTTCTAGCATGAAGCCCATGCAGGTTAAGGCATTTCTTTTGCTCTTATTTTCCCTTCCATCACTTTTGTTGAACAATTTTTTAGGGGTGGGCCAGACGGATGGATGAGTGGTTAAGAGCGCGTACTGATTACAACTGCCGTGATTGCAGCGCCAGGATACCTGACACCTCTTCTGAAATCCACGGCATCTGCACGGGTGCACACACATGCATGCGTGCTCACGCACAGACAGACACTTAGGTCTGGTGGTTAAAGTTTGCTTGAGGCTGGTGAGATGTCTTAGCAGGTAAAGGTGCAACCTTGATGGTCTGAGTTTGGTCCCTGTAAAAGACCCCTGTAAAGTAAGAGGACAGACTCCAAAACCAGGAGCAGGGGCACAGGCCTTTAATCACAGCACTTGGAGGCACAGGCAAGCAGGTCTCTGTGAGTTCAAGGTCACCTTGGTCCATACAGTGAGTTCCAGGACAGGTACAAATATACAATAAGACTCTGTCTTGAAAAAAACCGAGAGAGAAACTCCAGCAAATTGTGCTCTGACTTCCTCAAGCATGCACACAAACACACACACACAAATACATTTTTAAAAAATTAATTTAAAAACTTTCATTAGTAAGCCCTTCATAAGCCTGAAATACCAGCTCTTTCTGCCAAGACCCCAGAGAGAGTCAATGGAAAAGACAGAGGTCTGCGAATAACACCACCACTCTTCCCAGAAAACAGAATGGCAGCTAATCTCTACAAATACCCTGTCAACTCCTGCTCCCACACTCAGCGTAATTCAGATGCACCACTGTTCTTGAGTCTCTGTTCAGTTCCATCATCTTTTAAGATTTATTTATCATTATTTTACGTATATGAGTGTCTGCCTGCAAACGTGTGTGTGCCACATGGCTACCTGGTGCCAAGGAGGCAAGAAGAGGGTATCACACTCTCTGGAACTGGAATACTGGGGTTACAGAAGGTTGTGAGTCACTATGGGGGTGCTGGGGACTGAACTCCAGCCCTCTGTGAGAGCAAGTGCTATTACCTGCTAAGACATTGCTCCAGCCTCGGTTCCATCATCATTAAAATAAAGAAGCATGGCAGAGCATGACTGTAATTCCAGCACTTAGGGACCCAAGGCAAGAGGACCAAATATTGAAACCATCCAAAAAGAAACCATAACGCCATGGATGGCTTTAGAGATGATCTAAAGAAGAATTTGGGGTTACGGATCCTACTTGCAGAGAGGAGACCTTGAACTCATAAGCAGGAATGGTTTTCCTCACCCCTTCTGCAGGGCTCCAGCTGGCTGGTTGTGGCACGAACCTCCTCACAAGGAGGCAACTCCCCCCTGGGCTGGCACTGACACACTTCACCACAAGCACAGATGCTCCCGCGCAGCCACCAAAATCATTTTTCACCATTACCTCTCACAGAAGGAGTCTGCATGAACTCAACACTTGGGAGGAATGCCCAAGGATATAAGCCGGAGAAATGGTTAGCACCAGCCCAGTTCAGCCTGGTTTGTTCTCCCTCAACACTTGTCTCCAACCTTAAAAGGTGTGACTTGGGAACTGAGGCTCCGTGCAAGGACTGCATTCCCATCCATTCCCCCACAGCACTTTTCCTTGGACTCCTGCTCCTTCCTCTTCATCACAAGGCCCACAGTGCCAGGTTATGGGGCAGGTGTAAAAAAATTATCCAAAGGGACTCTCAAGCAGATTTGGAGTGACAAGCTCTGGGCCAACCAACTCTTCAGTTGGTGCCACAGCCAGGTGAAGCCATTCCCCGCCTCCTCTGACAAACCAGGCACCTGTGGTGGCTTCGCAAATGCTGAAGGATGCTTTGTCCACATCTGTAACTCTTTCTGTCCAACACAGAAAGCCAAGGACAGTGGCAAGAACCCACAGCCAGTGCAGATTCAAAAGTGCCACCACCGGGATGAATTCGGGCATCACCAGGCCCTGAGGGTCCCGCTCCGCCCAAACTTTAAGCTTCACGCTTCAAAGAAAGATTGTTAATTACATATGATGATACCAATTATATTGAAATGCATTATGAAACAGAATCTTTGCTAAGCAATTTTACTATTTTAATTCTTTTCTTCTGTCATTTTTAAATAATCACTCTGGTTTTTATTGCATTAAGATGCAATTAAGGAAGAAGAGCCTTTTATGTTTTAAGTCTGTTTCATTTTTCTCACATAAAGAATTCCATAGCCATCCATCATAATTTAACAATATAGGAGCAATGAGTTGAGCACCATCTAAGAGGAAAAATGCAAGTCTGCTTACTTTGAAAAGTAAAAGCACAGAGAATTCCTGGTCAGAGATAAGTCAGCCCGCACCCTCACGCACATTCATATAGAAGAGGGGATAAGAGCTCTGTCCTTAAGGAAGAACTTGACATCTTGACCTCAAGATGTCAACTGCCAGGCCTGTCAGCTTCAGCAGAGTTGAAGGGCTAAAGGTACAGGCTCTAGTCACCAAGTCAAAGAGATAACCAGTTGTCTTAGTCAGGGTTTCTATGGTTGTGGTGAAACACCATGACCAAATGCAACTCAGGGAGGAAAAGTTTATTATTTAACTTTCACTTCACCCTTGCTGTTCATCATTGAAGAGGTCAGAACAGGAACTCAAACAGGGAAGGACCCTGGAGGCAGGAACTGATGCAGAAGCCATGGAGGGTTGCTGCTTATAGGCTTGCTCAGCCGGCTTCTTTATAGGACCTAGGACCACCAGCCCAGGGATAGAACCACCCACAAGGGGGAGGGCTCTCCCCACCAATCCCTAACCAAGAAAATATTCCTCAAGCATGATCATAAGGCGGCGTTTTCTCAGCCGTGATTCCCTCCTATGCCTTGTGTCAGGTTGACATAAAGCTAGCCAGCACACTACTCCACCAGGGACAGTGTTAGCTTACAATTTAACAATAACTCCTCCTCTGTCTCTACCTGCTGACTGGCTAGAAAGGGCCTAGGTCAGTTCTGCCCCGTGCAGAGCAAATCTGTAAAAATCTACATTCCAGATGAACCCAGAGCCTGTCTGAATGCTCCATCATCACCATCCTCGTCACTGTCTGCTCCTACTTGCTGCTCTCCTCGACTGATTGGCAAATACCGCAAATTATCCTATGACCACTGCAGACACACATTGGAAACACACATACAAATTAAAATAAAGAAAATTTGACATAAGTTCTTCTTTAGAGAACCAGTTAATAAATGCACAGCAAATGGTGGAAACCAAATACCACCTTTTTGTCATTCTAAAGGAAAGATCACACTTATCATCACCTAGCTCATCAATGGCTTTACAGTCATGTGGATAAAAACTGTGTAAGGGCTCTAGTGATGGATAAATGGACTGATAGCATCCATCATTAATAATTTAAAAGGGACGTTACACCACTGTCTATGCAATGTTCTTGCCCAATTTTTATCCATTCATTCAACACAGTTGTACACTTGACTCCCAGGCTCACCTTGAGCTCCTGGGCTCAAGCAATCCTACTATCTCAGCTTCCTGAGTCACTAGGACTCAGCATGTGTCACCATGCCTGGCTGCAGGCCCCCAGTTTGGAACTTAATAGCTCATGTCTTTATAAGGACTTTGGAGGACAATGGAGCACGTGTAGGGGCCATTCGACAACACCAGCAATGTAATGTATGCTGTGCAAAAACTACAGAACAAATGCAATACCCGAGAGGACAAGAGGAGGAGGAGGCGTATTCTGAAATGCAAGTAAGGACCTCAGAGCACAGCACTCCTGCAAATCCGCATGGAGAACTGGACCAAGCAGGACTGAGTTCTAGACCAGCCTGAGCCCCATAGGGAGACCTGGTCTAAGAGATGTGGGGAGGAGATCAGTCCCAGGCAGTTTGAATGCTGTTTAGATTCTTGGATTGTGCTTAGGTATTTCACCAACTGAAAACAGCTACAAGACCATCATGAAAATCTCCAAACCAACATCTAGTGACACTTAACAATGAAGTCCTATTCATTTCATAGAAGATTATGATGACCCAAAAGAACGCTGATCATTTTAGAGAAATATTTATACTTAGAACTTATTTCACTCCTTTAGTCCTCTCTGAACTATTCTTCAGGCAACTGTACAAATCAAATGACTGCTGCTGACCATACAGAATCACTATTGGTTTTTTTGTTTTGTTTTGCTTTTTAATATCGAGGAAAACTGTCTAGAAGGAAAGATAAGGGATGAGAACTGATTAACACAAAACATTACTTTGGGGCTAGAAATTTGCCCCTAGAAAGTCCTTTGAGGCACATAGCCAGCATATAGAAGAATATAACTACTCACCATGCAGAGGTCAAGCTTCGGACAGTGTTAACATTCAGAATTCAGCCGTCAACCTACAAGTTCAAAAGAAAAGGCTCTGAGTGACAAACAGCTTCCCCAACGCCCACACACCACATTCCACAAGCAAAAAAGGAAAGAGAAAAACATCACGTACAAAGCTGTCTCAGTTGACATGTCCATAAAGCTATCAAAGGCAGGCAAGAGAAGGGAAAAACTAAGGGCTGAGACTTGGAAGCCAAGCAATCTAGAACTCTGAGCACTGCAAGTCACAGAGAGCACACCCTAGTGACATCACCCTAGTTCCACCTTCTGGAGGAACGGCACCCTGGTGTCAGTCACATGGATCTAACCAGGATCAGAGTCCTAGGAAAGACTGCAAGAAAAGGCAGGCCTGGTGTACATAACTGTAGTCCCAGCTGTTTGGGAGACTGAAGCAGGAGGGTGACCCTAGTCTAGGAGCTCAGGGCCAATAGCCAACATAGGAAGCCCCAACACTTAATAACATAAACTCAAACAGCAAGAAGATAATGCATGTGCACTATTTGAACATAACTAGGATTTTCAAAGCTTAATGTTCAGTCTCTTAATGAAGGAGGGAACAAATATCAAAGAATCGAGACAAACAAGTCAAAGTAAAGTGAGATTTCAAACCTGAAACCAAGCCTAGGAGTCTTTTCACTGAGAATCAGCCTGCAAGTGGGTTGGCAGGCCCCTGAAGTGAGTAATGAGCTCCACATCGCTCTCAGTTTGGGGTCAGGCTGGACCAGAGAATCCCAAAAACCCACGGATTTCAAATGGGTAACGTTTTTAAAAATATTATTTGTACATGTTTCTTAAATGGTTAAGGCAAGCAGATTCATCCAGGATGACAGCAGTGGACAGATATCAACCTTGCTAGAGTAAGGGGGTGGGTTGGGCTCAGCTGCAAATACAGACAGCTGGGGATTTATGGCCAAAGAGTAGGGTGAGAGGTCAATGGATAGAAAACTACTAACAGGAAACACCGAACTGGGACAGTGTCTTGCTATAGGCAGGTGCAGGACCTAGCCAAAGGAAGGAGGGAGAGTAAGTCATCGGACAGCAAAGGTAATCAGTTATAGTCCGTGGGGGTGATCAGTAACTGACGTAGCGGAGTTCTTGCTACAACCACCTAGCAAACCGAGCATAAGTTGAAGCCTAATTTTTAAAATGTTCAGAAAAGCCAGACTTGGGTATGGTCACATACAGGATTTCTATCAAGAACAGCGTTTAAGCAGAGGTCCTGACTCCTGGTGGGGCTGTAGCTGCGAGGGTTTCTGTGACCCACACAGGCAGAGACATGATCACAGGAAGCAAGAAGGCAGTTCAGTTCAATGGGGCTCAGCAGCTAGTATTAGCTCAAATTTCTGGAGTCTGACCCTGGGTAGCTTATTTGAGGCATAGTTAGGAACAACACAAATTGGTGAACATTATTCTGGTGAAAATTAACTCAATCCCATATGCACAACAAAGCAGACATAAATCCCTTCGAGGAACAAAATAAGACAAACTCAGATCTGACATTACTACATCGTAATTCTTTGTAAAGTCCAAGAAGACAGGTTCTATAGACTGACCGAGAAAAACAAATTTAAGGATAAGGGTCTAGGGAAGATCCAGAAAGTCTTTATCCACCAAGAGAGAGCAAAGGTCCCAGGCACATCTGTTCCCTCCTTCTGGATAGGTGACAGGTGGAGCATTCTTTTCCTTGAAGGGACAACCCTATGTGCATAAATTACACATTCCCCTACTGCTTCTCTGTGAAAACCTCCATGCCTCCTGCATTCTATAAGTTGCCTTTGTCATGGTGTTTTAACACAGCAGTAGAAGAGTAAACAATACAAAGGAAAAACAACAACAACAAAATTTGACATCTGGATTCAAAGCATCACACACAACCCAAGAAGCTTTTGAACATGGTCAGAATTACACAACTCCCCTTGCACACAACCTAAGCAATTTCCCCATCAACCAGATCCCAGGAAATGTAGTTAAAAGGTGGACAAAATGCCCTCCTTGCATTGTCAAGTGTAACATACAAATATAGGACATGGGTTACTAATGATCTACAAGGGCTGGGTGTGATGATATACACCTTTAGTCCTGGCACTTAGGGGGCGGAGGCAGGTGGATTTCTATAAGATCAAGGCCAGTCTGGTCTACATAGCAAGTCCCAGACCAGCTAGTGCAGAACTTATTGAGAATATAGTGAGAACCTGTCTCAGATAGATAGATAGATACATAGATAGATAGATAGATAGATAGATAGATAGATAGATAGATAGATAACCAAAAATAATGAGCTAAATATTCTGTCTTGTCTTTGTCAGCAATGATCTATTCCCAAGGCAGCCCTCCTTCCCCAGCCCCTGTGCAAGCCCAGAAGAAGCCATGACAGGGAAGTCAGTTGATCCTGTTTCCTTCCTGCTGGTCACCTGGAGTCTGACCATCACGTCACTTCTTCCAAGCCACCAGGCCCTCTGTTTCAGTTACAGGGGATGAACTATAATTTCCCACAAGCCCCAAGTCCCTCATCCCCACTTCTTGCCTCTCATAACCCAACAACCACCTCTATCCAATACTCTAGTCACCTCTTTGAGTATGCTATATATTCTCCTGTCATGGACAGGAGATGGACAACAATGACAGACAGGAGGCAGAGAACATTCAAATTTCTGTATCTGCTCTCAACTACAAGACAAGAGAAGAAAGAGCCCAGTTTCTAGGGCACATTACAGGGGCACATGGGATGGAGGCAAAAGTGGAGGTGACCAGGAGCTCTAAATTTAACAGTATCTGAAATCCACAAGATTCTACCCCAAATTTTGCATATACTTGAATTTTTGTGAGAAGAGAAACGCAGGAAGAAAAAGGTCAAATTTGCACTGGAGCCCCAAAGTTGAGGTACCACTGCGAGGGCTGTCTCCTCACAGAGGAAGAAAGATGCACAGCAGATGGAACACAGCTGTCAGCCCGAAGGAGGGAAGGTATCCATATCCCTCACTGAGGGGGCTGGGGCTGGAGCCTGCCCCACACTCCCCCAACCCTGCAAGGCAGCGGAACAGTGTGTTCCCGAGAATCCCTCACAGCTCCCTCCCAACAGTCAAGTGACATTTGCAAAGCTCATCAGCTCAGCAGGTGTTCAGATATACAAGCAATAGAAAAACAGTTCCAGGCCTGAGGAAAAAAGAATCCAATCCTGCTCTGAAACCCCCGCCCCCCCAGGTTGCTGGCAGAGTGCAGAACAGAAAACCTGGAGAGGAAAAATACACTGGAGATAGCAAAACTGCATTCCAGAAATGTCCAGGTGGGCACGGGAAGCCAGAGGGTGTGAGCACGTGAGTGTACCTTAGGCAGCAACTAGCCCTCACAGACACGTGCTCCAACCCCCTGCCCGCCTGCCCTGTGACCAAGCATATGAGATTCACCAGCCCTCACAGACATGTGCC